ACCGCGCTGCTTTGGGCTGAATTATTTATAGCGCTGAAAAAGACGAAGAATTCAGTGGTAAATCCAAACTGGGTCACAGGGCTGTCTTCTCAGCCTTGTGCTTCAGAAGTCCGGGCTTTGTTGGCTTCACTGGATGGGGCACAGCCATCCTCACCCTCAGCTGCACGCACCCCAGCACTGGGTTGGATGTGTAGGAAGCATCCTCATGGCCTGAGACTTCAGTTCTGAGCATAAAAGGAAAACTGCTACTTAAGCACAGGGTTTTTAAAAGCAGTTCCAGCTCTAAATCCCGAGGTTAGCAATCCTCCACCAAGAACAGCCAGTGCTCCACACCACCTCTACCTTGGATTCCACGTCACGTCTACCTCGGAAAATGACAACAATTTTACAACAATTCCATTGTTTCAAAAATTAAGAGAGTCGATTTTTACATGCAGGTTTTTCTGCACCACCACACATAAAATGCTCACACCTGGGGCTCTCCCTGTTTATTTTTCCATGCCACGAAGTGAGGAGCCCTCCTGCGTGCACCACTGCCTGGCCACCCTCCTGGGGACAGGGCCATCGGTGGCCAACCCATTTACCAAAACATCTTCATCACCCCCACCAGGGAATCTGGAAACCGTCTGAAATCCCAGGAGAGGGCATCGCTGTGGCTGCATCCTGGACACTCAGGCACCAGGTAAGAGCTGGTGATGGCCCCACTAAGGGCAAAGAAATGTTAACCAGGGCTTCAAGTGTGAATCATAAATAACATCAGGGTCAAAATGGACTTTGGGGCAGTGGATTTGGCACACCTTCCTCACCACTGCTGCAGAAACTGGAAATGTACAGCAAAGCCTCCTGGCCTAAGAGGTGATAAATACTAATTTGTAATGCCAAAAGAGGCTTTATTTTAATTAACCTCTTAAGCATTGAAGTTTTATACTATTTTACCAATACATGTGTTTGCATGTAATGCATTTAAAAATACCTGCATGAAGCGAAGCGCTGCTCTCTTCACTCCTTAGAGAGCACCAGACATGCTGACTCTGGTCGTCATCAGATTTTTTTGGAGGGTATCACAAGGTTTTGGAGCTCTTGTGCATGGTTGAAGGTCACAGACAAACGTTGGGTTCTCAGAAACACCCATCTGAAGATGAAAATGGAAAACATGCATCTTGCCATGATACCAAGGGGCAATAAAAATTCTTCTTTTTCCTGCACTATTGCCATTTTCTCTCCTTGTTGAGAGGAGAAGAGAATTTATTCTCTTTTGGGAGAAAACCTGTAGTAATGGCATCATCTAATACAAAAAAAGAAATGAAAAGCACCGATTTCATGATGAATTAGCTTATAGGGAAGTTGGGAAACAGCCTCCCATTTTAAAGAAGCGCAATGATGTTTTGTGGCCGTCTGATGCAATCACCTTCACTCCAACATTGCCTGGTGCAATACTGACATCTTGCCCTCGACCATCAAAATCTCCTGGCTATGAGACCAAACGGAAATAAAGAGGAAGTAAAGAGCATTTAATGAGGATGCGTTTTAGCAGCAGCATGCTCGCCGAGAAGCGTGGTTTGAGTAATCCCATGGCTATTTTCAAATTCAGGCTGCCTCGAACAAGGGAGCGCAGACCAGATCCACTAACCCAGGCAGCAGACAGCTTTAATTAGCAGTCTAATTGGGCAAAGGTGAGCATCCCGAGGATGTAGACCATGGCCTTCCCTCCCAGGAGCACTCCAAGCAGCACACTTAGGGGGGTCACCTCCTCCCACACCAAGGAGAACGTGCTCCATCTCTCTTGGCCTCTGTTTACAATGGTTGAACATCTTCATGCTACATCATATTGGTGATCTGAAGCCAAACCTTCAAAAAAAAATTTATGCTCTGAAAATAATTTGAGGTTTCTTTACAGCATCTCGTGAATTGGACTACTTCAGGCTTCTTCAGGGCTTCGCTGGGACTGCAGAAATCCTGCTTGCACCAGTCCGTCCGCGAGCCATTCCCATGGGAAAGGCAGAGATTTGGCCCCACGTGCTTGCAGAAGGAGCAGAATTAAAAAAGCACCCTGTCCCGAGCCAGTCACAGGACCGGCACAAACACTGAGGGCAGCGATTTTCCTTCATCTCCCCCCAAACCAGGGCTGCATTTACACCATCCAGGCAGATCAAGTCTTTAGAAAGCTAAGCATTGTCTTGGACTACAAAGTGGAGGAGACTTTTTTTTAAACACCATGCTAAATCCTCTCACAACTTGCTACTGTGACCACTTAAGAGTTTCAGCACTTGATACACTCCCCAACATAAATTTATGTTACTCATCTGGCACTTATTTTACAGGAGAGCCCATGCCCATACATAGTCTATACAACTTCCTTCGTGTATACATTGAAGGAAGATGGAAAAAATTAGACCATGCCAAAAAAAGCTGTCTTACCAGACAGGAGCCGCTGCCTGAGGGGTGTATTTAGAAATCGGAGGGCAATTTAGGAACGGAGTCACAAACACAAGCCAGAAGAGGAAGGAGAAGCACGGAGAGGGGAGTTTCCTTGTGGGCATTGAGCACTTCCAGACTGCATCAATAAATAACCAGATGGACACAACTCTTTTTCACCTCCCCAGGTAACAGCAATACCAAACACATGGCATTTTTCAGGTGCTAGAAACCGAAGTAGGACATGGACTCGTGCCTGTTGTCACAGATGATGAGTTTGGTCCCTGGTGCCTTCTCTTTAAGCCTGTGAGCAGTCTGTCCACCCCGTGTGAGCAGCAGAAGGGGGTTCCTGCAGAGCAGAGCTTCCAACACCACTGTCTACACCAAGAAGGAACTGCGAGCAGTGAGGAACTGCAAGCAATGCAGCCACTTCAGCCCATGGTCTCACGGAGAATTGAGGCTGGTGGGCACCTCTGGGGATCATCCCATCCAGCCTCCTGCTCAGAGCTGGGTCAGCTGCAGCAGGTTGCCCAAGGCCATGTCCAGGTGGCTTTTGAAGATCTGAGGACAGAAATGCCACCATCACTCTTGACAGCCTGTGCCATTCATCAAATTCACAGTTAAAGCTTCTTCTTATGTTTAAGAGAAACGTCCTGTGCTTCATTTAGTACCCACTGCCCCTGGCCTGGCACTGGGCACCCCTGAACAGAGCCTGGCTGCGGCCTCTTTGCCCCCTCCCTGCGGGGATTCCCAGCCCTGGGGGAGATCCCCCTGAGCCTCCTCTTCTCCAGGCTGAGCAGTCCCAGCTCTCCCGGCCTCTGCTCACAGGAAGGCCTTGTAAAGACACAGCAGGCAACATCCACATCCCTTCAGCCACTCAGCAAAGCATCTTGTAGGAGACCATCCAGCTTATTGAGCATTTCGCCATAGACCCATGCTAATTCCAAACACCTTCTCGTCCTTCTGATATCTGGAAGGAGTTGCCCAGCTTACCTGCCACACCACCTTCCTTGGCATCAAGATGAGGTTGACAACTGTGTCCATCTCCCGCTCCTCCTTCCTGAAGGTAGGAGTGACATTTGCATTTCTTCCAGCCCTCAGGAACTTACCCAATTCCCACGTGATCTTAAAGATGTTCAAGAGCAGCCTTACGCTGACACTGGTCCACGGCAGGCCAGATATGGCAGATAGCTTGGGGATTGCAGTATTTCAGCCCAAACTTCTGCCTTTGAATGTCCTGCCCAAATAGTTTATATTTGCTCCTCAACACCTTCAAGACACGCAGGACCTGCTAAAACCATATGACTTAATCCGAAATAAACCAAGTCATGCCGTGAAGTCATTAACACAAAGGAGAGGAAGTAGAGAGGGACCCAGCTGTGAGGAGCTGACAGCAGGGACAGCACCTCCCTTCCACACAGGGCCCAAATCATCCTCCTCAGGTGCTCCTGATGCAAGGGTTACAACATCAACAGGCTAAATCAGGTGCAAATAGCAGGCCTGACCAAGTTATACTGGTTGGGACAGCACAAAAACACACCACTTGCTCCTCTTACTCCTCTCAGACAGGAGCCACCAAACCATACCATGACTTTGCACACAGTAAAGCCCGGATTGCCTAAATTGCACCATCACCAAAACAGGGTGAAGAGCTGTAAAATCTGATTTTTTTCCCCCCTCTCAACTGTTCTCTCAATTGATGAGATGGATTTCAAAAAAAAAAAAAAAAACAAAAAAAAACAAACCCAAGGGAACCGAATTTAAACTAGGCACTCACAGCTACATTCTCAGTGGCTAAGTTACAAAAGAAGAAAAGGTAAAAATAAAATCTCAGAAGCGTGAAAGTTGTCACTGGAATATTTTTAGCTGAAATGAGTCACAAAGCCTGAGGAGGACTTCTTTTTGCAGTGCTATTGGGGGGGAAATTAAAAAAAAAAGTCACAACACAAAAACAGAGTTAAAAGCTACAGAGAGCTTAAGACACTTGTTGCTTCTGACGTGATGCAAAACCAAGTTTTTTACACAGAGAGAGGTATCTGAATGTAACAGATTAAACAAAACCCTTTCAATCCAGGAAAGAACAGGGAAGTCACAGGGACAGGAGAAGCCTGTAGGTATTTAACTGTACCTAAAAACAAAAAGGGCATTATGGCAGCTCTCCTAACCAAAGGAGGAATTCAAAGTTGAACATCAGGAAGGGCAACATGAAGTCCAAATGCGACCTAGAAGAAGAGGAAAATAAAAGTGGGGAAGAAGAGAGAACTTCCACTTGTTGATCATGACTGCAATCCAGGGTTTGAACAGACCTAACAGACCTGTAGCACGTCTCCATGCATCTGCTGTAGGAAGTGACAGAAAAGGTTCACTCAGAAAACAGCAATTTTGGATAAACCAACAATTATTTCCTAAGACCCGTGCTGCATACACAGCAACCTTGTACAGACCACCCCCAGAAGCAGCCCAACTCTTCTTACCTACTTACTCAGGAAAAAGAGACCATAAAAAAGATTTTCTTCTGACAGTTTTTTTTTGTGAAAGTTTAATATTAAAGTCTATGACAATGGTATAAAGAATTCAGATTAAAGTTTTTTGTTTTGTTTTTTTTTTTTTACACAGGGCAGAGCATACAGTCAGAGAAAGCTCCGCCATCAACTCGACAGGGATAGAAGCACATTCAGGGTTGATTAAAGTGCAGTTTCATGGCAATTCCAACACCTCTGTTTCCTTTTCCTGCATGCGTGCAGTTGTTACCCATGTGTTCGACAGCGCTGGTACCGATCCCCTCAGAAATCAGGTTCTGCCCGAGTGCCAAATCTCTGTGGCCGAGTCCCCTGCTGCTATTTCCAAGGCAGTAAAGATCTGAGAGCCGTACCCAAGTCAGTGTGATTGAGGTGGCTTTGTGGGACCATCATGGGAAGAATGAATCATCTGCCCTGGAAATATGTTTGTGATCACTGCTCCAGTCTATTTACACATTCTTGAGACACGCAACTTGTACAAGGGTGTTGATATTTATGTAATTCCATAAATTTAGTGCATTACAGACACAATATGCAGTTGTAGCCACAAAGAGCAGAGCAGTGGGACAGTTCTCAGCTATTTCTCATTTTCTATACGCCACGGATGAGATGTATGGCACGGGTTAAAAGTTAAGGAATTAGAGGACAAAATACAGTTAACCAACAACAAAAAAAGAGCCACGTGAGTCTGTTTGAGGTGGTGGAATTGAAGGCTAGACTCCTACCCCCAAAAAAACAACTAAAATCAATCCCTGAGAAGGTAATCAATCTCCAACATTTAACCATGACTAGAAGATGAAGTGCAGCAAAACATTTTGAAGTGGAGGATTTGTAATAGATCATGTTCATGACACAGTTTCCATGTCAGTGTGAAATTAACACCTGCACAAGGACTCAAATGCAGTGTTAAGACTGAACTCGTTTCTAAACCTTGGCTAATTGGTTTGCTTTGTTTTGGTTTGCTTTTTCCCTTCATGTTCACAACCGTTCATGTATGTACAGCCACACAGAAGGGTGCAAGATTCATGGAAAACCATGAGATAACATACAAACAGTATAACAATCAGAACAGTGTGCCAAGGAAGACTTTTCTCCAGACTAAGAAATTCCTCAAGTATATTAAAGAGGGACAAACAAGAAACTTAGTAAACTTTTCAAATTTCGAGAAGTTAAACCTAGAGCTCTCAACACCAAGAGCTTGCTTCAGGAGTTAAATCTGTCTGGTAACAACAGGAGTTAAGGCCTGTGATTTAGCAGTGGGTACCTGAGGTCAAACATCAATCTAGCAGTGACACAAGCAGTTAAGTGGTTACTTTTTTTAATATATATTTTTTAAAGGAGGATCTTGCATCAGTCTGCACCCTTATTTCTGTTTCTCTGCTCAACTCAATTAGTTCAGAGAAGGGGAGACTCCTGGCGCAAGCAGTACTTTTAGAGCCAGGTCAGTTGTCTCTTCATTTATACTTGACCAATAACATGAAAAAATGCAGCAGGTACCGCTTCAGAGGAACATTCAACTAATTTTAGACACTCAGATACTCACAAACACTCTAGGCCAGAATTTCACATAAGGGAGATCCACCCTAGCACTGCTTTGGCTCTGTTGATGGACTGATGCCATCCACATCAAAGGAAAACGCACAGAGCAATGAAGCTCCGAAGCAGGGATCCACACCTACTCTAGGGAAGCTCACCCTGTGTCACTGCTGCTTTCCAGCCATGGGGAAATGCAATTACCCAGCGCAGCTGCTGTTCTCACAAGGAAATGTGGACCTCTGGCAGAACAGAAACATGGTTTTAAGAGTTCTCAGTATACACCTTATTTTGTTAGACCGATGTCTTTCAGAAGTGTCGGGTAGAAAAGCTGAGCCTTTGCTTTATTGTCCAGCACAGATATCTCCTACAGTGCTTCTTCACACTGAATTGCTGGGGCTTCCCACGTCTCCTCATCTGCTGGGTGAGTTATCTGTGATGGCTGATCTACGGGTGCTTCCTCACCACAGGCTGTTAATTCATCTTTTTCTCCTCCTGCTAACTGAAGGTCAGAGCTACAGGAACGATCAGATCCATCACATTTGTCTGTCAAAGTCTCTGCTGTAGTTTTAGAGGGCTGGCCAGTCTCTGTTCCAGCTTCGGGTTCTGCTTTTAAGAAGAGTCCAAACACGTCATTCCGTACGATGTACCGAACACACTGCAGGATAACATTCCTTTCATGTCGGATGTCCTGGGCCAGCAACTGCAAAGTAACAAAAGACCCAGGAGAACAAATCTGATTAATAGAAAGAACTCAGTTAGGTTTCATGGAGTTTTTTTCTTTTGCAAGGCATGTGCAGGAAGGTAGAAAATACACTGTCAGCAGAAGGCCTGGCACAGCACAGAAGAGGTGAGATGATGCATCTGGAAAGGAGGCAAGGAGGGAGCTGCCCTTTGGGAAGCAGCAGCAGATGCTACAGCAGCACAGGTTGATGGTCAAACACCACTTCTGCAATGAGAGGCTCAGAAGGGCCGCTATACTACTTACAAATGTTCCACTGAAACAGATGAAAACCCTGAAATGCCCAAAATGAATGCGTTTAAGTGCCACTCATGTAGCGCTGTTGATGAACTAAGGCAGCTTGAACATGCTGACAAGTCTCAGGTGGCATAGAAAGTCAGTGAATACACCTAACTACTGGGAATTTCCTCCTCAGTTATCTCCCAGAGTAGACCCAGATGATGAAATTTTCATATTATGGACTATAAGAAACACCCAAACGCCTTCTAGGCCATGGGCAGTGCAGCAGGGTAGCAAGTCTGTGGGCATCTCTTAAGCTTTGCAGGCTATCCTGTATCTGTAATTTAATAGCCCATGCATCTTTTATTAGCTAATACCTGAGTGAAAGATGCTTTAAATACACAGAAAGGGCATTTTTCAACACCTACTAGACTGGGGGGGGGTTAAACAGCAGTAACTATTTTGGGATATACTCCACCAAGCTAGGTCTAATAGCTTAAACTGGGCTTGTAAAGTCACAGAGAAGCTTGCTGCTGGGAATTTGTGGTCTACACCAGTTCCTTCACAGTACATATTTCTGTTTAGGTTTATTAAGAGGTGTTGCAAGCAGCTCTCACCAGGTATTACGAGCACTGGCACCTGTAACCAGCTTTCCCAAGCCTCCTGCCTCAAGCAGGAGGTGCACAGCAGGGCAGGGAGGGGGCAGCATAATGGGATTCTCTCTGCAGGAGAAAATGCTGAGCTCCCAAACAGCCCGATAAAGGCACAGGTGGGACACCACCACCCCACCTATTTTTTAAATGCATTGATAGGTAACAAGAGCAATGCAATACAGGCCTTATTATTCTGGTAGCATTGCTAAACACACATCGTTAGCGTGATTATAATAAACATGCTTAGTAGTGCCCAAACTGACTGTCTAATGAGTGCCAAGACATCTCCACAGCTATTTTCCTACCTTCTACCCCCTCTCCTTTTCTTTTTTTAAAAGCATTTCACTGAGGTGACATCTTTTTCTGAGCCATACTACTACTACACTTTTTGGACACGTTTTCAGCGGTGATTCACTACCAAATTTCAGCCTCGCTTCCTCAAGGTTTTCACGCAGCAGAAGCCTACCTGCAAATCTCAAGCGCCCCTCTGTGATTCACAGCCCCAGCACACATCCCTGAACAACAATTTTAAACATTAGAAAGCCAAAAAAGGGCAATTTTAAAAGGGGGCTATACTGGCAAGCTACAATTCAGACTTCCTTGTTCTGCCAGCATCTCTAATGCCTCTCCCAGCATGCAGGACCTTCATATGACTTTTTTCCAGAATCTTCACTGCTTTGATCACCCACGACTTTGAAGAGCAAGAGATAAAGACAACTGCATGCTCGGGGAGCTGCACAAAGGGCAAACACTTCCTTTTTCAGTCACTAGCAGCTTTAATTCTTGGCAGCAAACGCAGTATGTGCTAAGAGGACTATCAAGGGATTTCTCCCAGACCTGCAGCTTGGGATGTGCCTTCCCCAGTATCTCTTGCCTCAACATCCTGTGCTGTATCAGAGCCCTGATGTCAGTGGCACCCGGCTTTCTCCTGAGCTCTGCCCAGAGTCTTCCTTTGGCAGGGAAGCTTCATGCTGGCTATTCACAGGATCACAAGCACAGCCTACCTCCTCTTGCCCTCCTGGCCAGTACTGCTTTGAGCGCTTACATGTGATAAAAGCTTTAGCACAGTTTTATCTCTAACAAAGAAAGCTAAAGTTCCAAATAGGGTGCTTCACATCGTTACTCAGAACGATGACACCTCAGAACTGCCCCCTACCAATCTTTTGACCCTTCTGAGACAGCCTGCTCTTCAAGGCACCCATGCTGTCACTTCCTCAGAGTGGTCTAAATGTGCCTACAAGGAAATCCATGCATCTGCAGGCTGTGCAGTTCAAGTCACCAACACCCTTAAGATGTCTGACTGCAGCTGAAGAAGCTGTCTCCTCAGTCAGGTGGCTGAATAGCAAAGCTGGGCACCAAGAGGGAAGGATCAGCACCAATCTGACAGGGTCATGTACAAATAAATTACAGAGTATTACCACAGAAAGGGGAGAGGTAGGAAGAAAGGTCTTATTCTTTGTGCAGCTCATTTTAGGCACGCAATTAAGGTGTCACCTCTTGCTCAAGGTCAGTCATTACCTGAACACACACCAGGGTATTTGTTTGTCTGTTTCAGCATCTACACTTGGAGGGAAACACTCCCTTGGCTATTTTAAGCCTTTGCTCCAGCTAACAGGCTGCTCTAACTTCCTGCAGGGTAGAGAACCACTCACACAGAGCTGCTCTGGTGCAGCAGGCATCATTTCAGTGCTCACACTTACCATTTCCAGCAGGGTGGGGCGACGCTTTGGAAGGAGAGGTAACGTTTTCTTGGCCCGTTTATCAGGGCCTCTGGGGGAACCCGCGTTTGTATTTGAGGTTCTCAACGTTGTGTCCACAGATTCTGGATGTTCTTGATTCAGCTTTGGATTCTGATGAGCTTCAGGAGTTTGAGGCGTGTTTCTGAGCACAGCCTGTTTTTCCTCAGCTTTTGTTGCAATCCTGACAGAGACTTCTAAAAAAACACAACAAAACCAACACTTATCTCCTAGACTTCGCATGCTTATATCCCCACGCACTGGCAGCTCATTAGTACTCCTCTTACTCACATAACCTGATGTAAAAAAACATGCAAGGATTACTTGAAAGAAGGGAGGCTTTTGTTTGGCTTGGATTTTTCTGTTTTGTTTGGTTTTGGTGTTTAAATGCAAAGAATCTTCTCTAAACAGTCACAGAACAGTGAGATACTTAATACTTCTGTCTTTTTTTCAATATACCAGAAGGGAGGTGTGGTTGACTTTGAGAAGTTGAACAAGATTTTCAGCTCTGCCTCGTGGAAGTACATTGCTTCCTCTTTACAGCATAGCTTGCTGCAAGCTTGGCAGCTGAGAGAAGTCACTGCACAGGGGAGAAAATGCTCAGGTTCAATTCCCTGCTCAGTGGATGCCCTCTGTAACTTCAGGTAGACCATCTGGGGCAAGAAATGGATGTTAATTAACTGCAGAACAAGGAGCAGCAGCTCTGCCATACGCTGATGTACACACTCAGAGAAGCATGAAATCCGAGCACTACGGAGTGCAGGTCTTACTGCAAAACCCAGAAGCCTTCTGAGGAAAAAACCCTTAAGGGCATGGAAATTAGTTCACTGCAAGTGTGTAACACCACTTTTTGGCTCTATTCAAACATGATTTGAAGCAAGACAGGCTGCTTTCCCTCCTCCCCAACAGCACACCCCTAAAAGGCTTGGGAAGCTTGATGATACACACCCTAACCAAAGAAATTTACATCCACCCTTCAACCTAGGTCACAGTGCTGAGAAAAGGCAAACAATGCAGGGGAAGAAACCCACTGAATCTTCCAGGAAACACTATTTGAGATGTTCTGAAGTATGCTGTAAGGCTAGAAAGAGGCCAGGAACTAGATTGTGGCACAGCCCAAGTGGACAAGGTCCTTGCAGTGCACCAGCTGACTGCACAAGTGCCCCACTCTGTCTGGGTACTTCTCCAAGATGAGGAGTTATTGCTGTACTTGGGAACAAGCAATGGCTCACACCGTAACGTAACCCATTTAGTGCTCAAACCGGGAGGAAGGAAGAATGGGGAAACAGACTGGGAGGAGGATGACATATGCTTTCACTCCTCCCTGCTTCTTTATGCAGGACTTGTACCAGTACCAGCATGCCACCGAAAGCACGCTGGAGAGATCAACACAGACTGCAAAAACATCCCTCTGCATAACCTTTACCAAGCTTATCTCTTCACTTTTATCTGATGATTTTTAAGCTTATACAAGACAGCTCTGAATTACAGCACTGCCAGACAGACCCCAAAAAATCAAGGCAGTTCCATACGCAGATGTTTTGGAGATGCAGCCAATGCCACTGAACTGGCATTATTTTAACAGCTTGGCTGATGTGCACAAGCTGCATTTTATCCTGCAACACCTATGCTTTATTGACAAGTTTTGAGTACTCAGTGCTTGCAATTTACTCTAGCACTGTGAAGGAAAAGAGGCAAGGAACAGCCGAGTATGAGCATATACACACCTTCAGGCTCACTCTCAGAGGCACTGCCGTAGTTGGCTGACAATGAACTCAGGGCTGAAGTGACCTGCTTGGGAACAACTGTCATCCCCAGCTTCCCATCTTCAGCTGCTTCTTCATCCTTGTCAGACTCTGCGGGGGAAGAGAAGCCAAGAGGGATTTTTCTGAGTTCTCCTGTATGAACAGCCACCTTAACTGATCATGACAGACTGATAGGCACCACTGCTCAACACCGTGGATTGATAAAGAACATACCTGCCTACTCTCTACAGATATTCTGTGGAAAAGTTTCCTCACCACTGATTTACAGTTAGCAAAGCTATAGAAGCAAGGTGAAGTTCAAATTCCCTGAACAACAGCTTGGGTTTTCTTCACATATTAAACATAATTACAGGTTTTATTATAAAGCTCAGGGGGAAAAAAAAAGAGGATTTCATAATATGTTTTGAAGTCTCACTGGATTTAGTCCTGTGGAGGCAGGGGTGGGGATTCAGAAAGCCAATAATTTCACAACAACAGTTAGCCTCATGCAAAGCACGAGCAACAAAAATTCTTGGACAGTAAAAGACTTCATAAGGGACATTTTAGGGCCTACGCCACAAATGAAACAAATATGTTTTCAGCAGGACTTCAGGCTGATACTTAAATCCCCACAGAGCATTATGGATATGCATGAGTAAGTGAGGTACTGCAGCCTTACTGTAATATTACTGCTCCAAAAAAAGAATACCAGGAAGGCAAAAAAGAGGCAAGAAGCACAAAAGTGATGAAATGGCTACTAGGAAAAGCCTGGTTGCAGTCTTATTTTCACAAGGAAGTTGTGCCCTCTCCTGCCCCCCATCTGTTTAAACTTGAATATCACACCCCACAGGAAAGCTGCCCAACACTTTGTAAGCAGATATGCTGTAATAAACACTTTTGAGATCTTTATTTTTAAATCACAAGTGTTTGGCTATTTTCTTCTAATATATCAACAATTGTCAACTTGATTTATTGGAGCTCATGTTGTATGCTAGAACAACTTCATATAAATACACAGGTGTTTATCTAAAGCTACTTATCTGCCTCTTTTTACTCCATACATTTTCTGAGAGGTTGATTCTCTTTAGTTTAGTAGTCACGTCAACTCCCAAACACACTGGAAGTTCAGGGAAATGCAGTGTGTTTTCCTACCAGAACATACTGCATTCACATAAATTTAAGCAATTGTAAAGCTCTGACATTTACTCCAAATTATGTTGATTCATAGCTGCTCTTTACTCCTATCACATTCAAACTGAAGTGCACACTGGGGTCAGATGCCTTTTTTTTTTTTACACTAAGCTTAAAAACCATCTAGCCACATGAAATGAAAAATGAATTAATGAATAAGTTAATGAATATGCAAAAATCAGTTTGTACAAACTGTTAAAAGTGACAAACTTCTTTGCTTCTTGGCTAATTAGGAAGACACTTACTGCAGTACATTCTCTATTTGACAGTACCACCCTTGTAGGATGCGTTATGAACTACTGAATAGAATTGACTGTTCCAGGTCAGTTTTAGACCTGACAGGCTGATATTCTTACCTTATTTCTGTTTAAGAATCAGGAGAAAAGTGTCCTTTTCTTCAACTCATTCAATTACCTTAGCTTTGAAGGAACCAGCTAAGGAATAGAACTTGAGTGAATGCATTATGCAAAAAGGCATTGCCTCTAGAGAAAGGGCTGCTGCTGTTTGAAAGCTCTAAATACTCCAACAAAATGTTTCTATACAGCAAAATCACGGCCTTCAGTGGTATGATTTTAAAAGAAAACGTTTGTTCTACTTAACTGTATAAAAATTCAACTGTTTTTAATAATGTGTGATAACACATTCCTTTTCTACCTATTATACCAGAAGTTACTAGCTGTACTTTGCTATAATTCAAATTTCTATCATTAAGCAAAACACAGATGCTGGGGAGAAAAGCAGTTCTATTTGATCACCCCTTGTCTCCCAACTAACCGAGATTAGTGGAATACACAAATCGCACAGGGATGCTGAGCTCTTGTTCCCACTAATTGGAGATTATGTTTTCCAGAGGAGAAACTCAGCATCCGAAGTCTTTCCAGGGGATGCATGCTAGCCCTATTGCTAAAAATAGAGTATAAGCCAGCTTACTTGCCATATTCTAAGAGCACTACATCATCGCTGACTATATTATAAATAGTTGAATCAGTGGAGTTTATACTGCTGCCAGCACAGGGAAAACAAAACATGCTCATGAAAAAAAGTAAGCAGCAATACTTCAGAAAATATACACATATGGAACATATCAAGAACAAGCTAGATAACTTAGCAAAAACTGAAATTAAAGGGGAAAATGCTTGCATTTTAATGTCATTTTAAATGATTTAACTCATAGAAGGCAAGACATTGTTTTCATGCTCTCAGTGTTAAAGGACAGAAAGGGATATTAAACAGTCTTTAAAAGTGATTCTGTTGTCACACTGCTTGATGGTTCCAAAACGCCCTGGCTAGCAGGCCAAACTTCCAGTACCTTAATTCAGATGCTATTGTTTCTCCCCTACCATTGTGCCTAGCTCATGAGACTCCTCTTCACCCCCAAAACATAGGCAGCTAGTCTCCCAGTCAGTCTCCACCTTCCTGAACACCACGGCAAAAAGAAACTTGTATCTTCCTAAGAAATCTAGCTCAGACCAAGGACAAGCACCAAACCAACAAGTGCACAGACATTTCTATACATTGTCTTCAACACTGTTCCATTTACTGATGCCAATCCCTATGGTCTCCTTCCCAAAATTACTGATATCAATTCCCTAAGGCTCAAATTATTTTCCCTTTGCTGCCCTTCCCTAAGTGTTTTGAATAAAAAAAATGATTCCTTATCTCTGGAGGTTATGGATAGAGTAAGATTATGGTCAAGTATTTGTTTTAACAAAAATAGAACTGAGGTGCTCCCTTAAGAGCCCAGAAACCCTCTTCAATTTGATAGCTAAATATTGATTTAAAGCTAGTAATGTATTTGGAAATGTGAAGCCAAGATAAATACCCAGCGTGGATATTTTTCATATTCAAGACACTCCTACTTCCCGTCTCCCCTCTTCAAATTAAGATGTTTCTGATAAAAGAAATCTGATGCTTCAAGCAAAAACACTTCAGAATAACTTGCTAGATTTTCCCTGTGTTTATATGATTAATTTGGCTTGCAAGCAATCTTATGAAGAAGTTCTTAATGCTGTCAGCATCTTAAACATTGTGTCAGCTTTTCTAAATCAGAACTTTTCACCTTCTTCATTGACTTTGGATTTTAGGTTCTTCACCAACTAGGCCTGTAACAGGAAAGTAGGGCAGAAGCTGCCTGAACTGCAAGATTTACCCCGTTTCCTTTAGATAAAGCACAGACCCACTCCACAACATTCACTGAGTTCTCTTAGAAGACCACGTCCTGAATCAGGATACATCTGTACAGAAGTCTCCAGATAAAAGGAAGTTCTAAACCCAGCTTTCAGACACTGGGATGTTGGCCTACATTCAAAGTTATAAATTTTTGACCCTGCTGACCCTAGAATTATTTTAGCCGCAAAACTGGACTTTTTTGTTAATAACGAGAAGTATGACAACAGGCTCTGTAGTATTATTGTCCAAGCTTACTGGAAAGCCTTTCCTTAGTCTTCTACTAAAAGAATTTGTAATAAACATGCCCAATTAGCCCTCTTTCCATCAAGGACTAAGTTTGCATGGTGTGTTTTTTTTTTATTATTTTTTAAATCCCCAGTTCTCCCCAGAAGCTGCTAGCTGCACAAGAGGTTAGTAATAACTTAAGCAGTGCTACATAAAGTTTTTCATCTTACCAACATCACTGTTTGCCAGAAGACTGAGAGGGTCCACGTCCTTCATGCATGGCTGAGCCTCCAAAACAGGCTGCTTTTCCTGTTCTTTCTCACACGTGCTGTTCTCCGGTCCATTAGCTTCGTTTTGATTTATTTGTGATGGTACCTTATCATCGCCACCATTTTTCTTAAATTTCTTCCAGAACTGGCGCTTCTGTTTCCTCCTCTGCCTTCCTTGCTGCCCAGGCCTCTCATCTTCAGCTTTCCACATCCCCTTCATCTTGCTGGAAGAGAGAAAGGAAGTTCACAGAAATGACAGCCTGACCACACACGCAGACACAAACCATCTCACTGGCAGGATGTGACCAAGCTGGAACCTTAGTGAAGAGTTTGAAGTTGATGAATTTTATCTTTTAACAAAGGCAAAGGGCTAAGCAAGCTCCTTGATCACCTACCACGTGAAGACAGTGTTTTCATTTCAAATTAAAACATCAATAAACATTCACTGCACTTAAACAATGAAGTCACTGAAAACAGGCAGAGCATGTGGAATTAGAGGGTAGGCATCTACTGTTAGCATACTTCAAGTTCTGAAGTCTTTTTCCAGTTACAGCTCAGTGAAGAATTAATTTCAGTGACTTGCATCTAGCTAACAGGCCATTCATCTCTGGTAGAAAAAGAAGGAAAGCTTCCATCAGGACAGCAAGGTTTAAAGCAAACTACAGAACTATAGGATGAGAACAGCATGCTAATTCCACTTGTCTTCTAAACGTGTTTGTAGGAAGACAAACCTGGACAGAATAACTCAATCTACAGACAGAATGGGTGTTACATCAGAAAAGCAAATACAGAAATGAAAATGTAAGCCTCCTGAAGATACTTATTTTCAAGTAACAAAAACAACCATGAAAGACAGATCTGACAATCTTGAATGAGTCCCATGGTTGATTTGGCTCACTCTCTCCCTCAGTCTCACCAACAGCATAGCAGAGATCCTGTTAGCTAGGGCCTTTGAGTTAGCCCTAGTCAACTGCGTAACACCATGCCTGGTCAAGAGCTTCTTCCTGACACTTCTCGCTGGTTCTTGAGCCATTTATCTTAAAGGACAGCCCCAAAGGTACATTTCTAACCTTGCACCTTGTCACTGATAAGCAACCAGCAGCAGATCTGTTTTTTTTGTGCTCTTCCTTCCCTCACAAGCAGTCACATTTCTCATCTTTTTCCAGCGTTCAGAAGCTGACTGCTTAGGGACCCTCTCCAACCAGAGATGCTCACATGACACTGATCAGTTTTGTGGGGTGTTGTGTAAAACATTCATTTCCCCAAAGACTTGCAGAAAGGTGTGAATGTTCTGTGAAAAAGAACTTCCTCTGGCTTTCATTTTGATGAATAAAGTGGTCATTTGACAACTCTCCCTTGAGTTAGAAGAAACACTAACTATTCTATTTACCTTTTCACACCAATGCAAGTTTTTTCTTTTGTGATACAACCCTTCTAAGCCACCCACCTCCATTTGCACAGAAGTGTTTCCATTTGTAACCCATGTTTCCCTCTTCCACAACTTTCCAGTTGTAAGCTCTTCTTGAGAGGAGAACAGGACCAGGCACAGCATTCAAAACTGCTTTATATCATGACAAAACACTCAGTTCTCCAGTCATTTCTTGAATGTCTAGCACTGATTTCTCAGCCATCACTGGAAACATTACCCACCTTAGCTCTCCTATGATTCAAGAGAAGCCACCTCCTTCCTGTGCATCAGTCTCTCATCCACAACATCAGGCTTATGTTATCTCCCATAACTCACCTCTGTTTAAGACCAAACTGCATTCTTGAATTGTCCAACAGGGCTCCACACTGAGGATATTGTTGTAAAACAGATGCTACTGAGCACATATAGGCTCAATTAGATATTCCATCCTTGGCCAAGGGTTTAAAAAACACCTTGGATTCCCCTGAGGCCCCAAACACCCAGGAGGAAGCCCCAAGGTCACAAATATCCCAAACCTCAGCCTGGCATCTGCCTTCCTCTACTGAAAGCTGTACTCTCACTTCCCATTCAAAGGGGTGGAAGAGCCACGCTCTATTAATTAGCTGTTGTGAGACACCACACAGACTGCCGAAGTGGTCCTTCTGCATCTCTAATCTCACACGCAGGGATGCTGAGAATTAGCAGTTGTAAAGCACTTCAGAGAACCACAAATGGAAAGTGCTGCAGAAGTGTTAAGTATCTAATCCTTTCTAAATCTTCCTTAGCTATTTGCTTTAATAGTACAGCTTGCGGAGAACAAGCCCTGTTCTATTTTTGCCTCGTGCATCAGTAAGTTTGCCAGATAAGCACCAATTCCAGAATCTTTCCTGTTGATACACCAAGCAGAAACGACAGGTTTTTGGACAGCAGGTGAAGCAGACAGGGCTAGCAGTTCAGGGGAAAAAAATACCAGATTAGTTTCTAAAATCAACCAGAGGTAAAAAGTCACAAAGTGGAAGCAAACAGCAACCAGTGGTTTTTAGGGCTTTTTTCCTCCCTAACAATTTTCCAGCTATAAAGTTCCTGACACATCTAATAGATAAGCATGGAATTTCTGACTGACATTTAACACTACATATGGTCTCTGACTCACAGTTCACCAGAAGAGCTACAAGAGTTACCAAATAAACCTGTAGACACCACGCAGTTTATTACTCTGACAAGCAAAACTCATCCCTGCTTAGAAGAATCTCCAAACATAATTCCACATTTGTAGCTTTGGTCCCTCCCGCACCTTTTTGATCTTCTAAAGGAAGAAAAAGATGTTATTTCAGTCTTATGAAGAAAAAGGCTTATAAAAAAGGCAGCTGTGCAAATTATTTTGCACTTTTATCTTTAACAAATTAACTATTTTAAATAAGGTGAACTAGTGCAGGATAGGGTTTGTGTGAGACTAGTATAAAGTTTTTTTTTTCAAGGAGATGAAAAAAGTCAAATGTAATTTAGCAAGAGTCCCTTCAAAGTAGGTCCACTCCTGCTTTCTGGCCCAGTCATTCCAGTATAAACAAGTAAACCAACAATCCGCCACTCCTAGGTTATCTAAAAGTCTTCCCACAGGCCCTAAAGCAGAGCTAATGGAGCTGTTTCCATGTAACACTAACACTGTGGAGAGTAGAAAATGAAGCAATAATAAAAATAAAGTGAGAAGTAATTCACAGTATCAGGGGGACAAAAATTCAAGAGGACCAAGGACTAGGCCCGTAACAAAGGTAGCAGGTAGATAATGAAGATGGAGGGTAAAAGAAAAAAAAAAGCAACAAAAGCATTGCTTAAGCTATGAAAACAGTTAATTCTTCCTCTGCTCTTCACTTAAAGTTTGATTTATCATCTGAAAGTAGAGCGCTAAGAAGCCAAATCCACTCCTTAAGCCTCCCTGGGCCATTTGCAGGCATAAAAGGATTAGACCACTAGATTCATTACGTTCCATCCCCATTATTTCTTTCTAAGAAACCAAGGTTAGGGTGATCTAACAAATGGCTGCTAGAAAGGGCTTTTCTCAAACAAGCCGGAGTGCAGAATTCAGCAAGAACATCAGGTTTCTAGACCAGTTATTGTTTAATTTCACTGAAGTGGACTGCGAAGCACTGTAAACAAGAGGAACATTACATCTGCGACTTGTCAAGTGGCCTGTCCCCTGCTAAAGTCAGCTAGATGGTGTGAACAGTGAATGCATTGAGTACTTGGACACCACAGTAAGAGAGCATACCTTCCTCTCCGTGAGCTCAAAAGTAACAGCTTTGTTTTGAAATGCTTACCCAAACTGTGGGGTAGTCAGAACTTCTCCCCTTTCTTCCTTCTCCATCTGCATCACCTTCTTCTTCTCAATGTTCGCTAAAGTAGGAAAATTTCTAGGAGAAAAAAAAACATTTGTTCTTCAGATGTTCACCATAGTCTGTCAATTCACCCTTTAACAAACCAATTCAATCTCAAGCATAAGAGATTTTTAAGGTGTTTCATGGAAAGGCAGCAGCCTGCTTCTTCCTTCAAAAGGCATGGCAAGGAAAAGCAGCCTGAGTAGTTACACTTACATCAATACCAAGAAATCCCATAAATTGGCATTATTAGATTTACATAAACAAACGAGCTACAGACAAACAGTAGTCATGCTTCTGGTCCCTCAACCTGCTCCTACGCACAACAGGGCATGATTTAGTCCTGCAATTTCAGTTTATGGTGCTTTAATTGGAGTATTTGAGGGATCCTGGGGTATAACATTCCTTTAGCAAAAGGACAGCCAGACTCTTCTGCAAAAAAGTTTGCAAGAACAGCTTCTGGGTGCAAACAATTCCCTTAATAGGATAGCTAAGGAAAAAACCTACATACTTCCTCACTATGGGGCTTGCATACTGACCTCTATTACACCAATATTACTGCCCTTTTTTCTTCCAGTTTCAAGAATTGCTAAGTCATGCAGACAAAGAAAACAAACCTACTGTTATAATCATCTCACAAACCACCCCTCTCTTCCCACTCCCCACCCCCCTCACCATTCCTCCCTGCGGATGAACACCACACCGGTTCTAACATGCAAGACCTCCTGTAAATTGCTGTCAAAGCCTTAACTGGCTGCTCTGTAAACACCAGTTAGCTAAATCCCTGTGCTTTGAGATAAAGGTAGGAAATGGGAAACACCCCCACCCATCTCTGGAGAACACCACAGAGTATCAATATTTCATAAGTCTATTAAGTTTAGTGATATTCCATTTTCAAACAGCTCCTTACTATAAATGTAGCTATCAAGAAGGACACCTAGCTTTAATTATTGAATCTTATCACATGCATCTCCTCCGTTTTACAGGAAGAACATTCTGCTTCACACTGATGGAAGACAGCTTCAACCACATACCAAGAGAAAAAGATGAAAAGTATTTTCTAAGACACACCTAAACAGAACTTGTCTCGTTCAAGAGGATTTGAGTATGGGCTGTCAAAGTCTATTTTCATTGGATTTCTCCCAGAAATCCACCACACAGCTCAAATGAGCACAGGGACATGTCTCTTCTGTTCTTCCCCATTAGCTACATTCCTTCATCCACATTATAAAACTCCCAGCAAACAGCAGGTGTGGAATGAATTATTTAATCTTGAGAGTTTTACATTCAAAGACCCCTGTGCTTGGCAGCTCTCCACAGTTTTAGGATAAAACTGAAGATGTTTTCCTTCACATGAGTTAAGGCCCACAGGAAAAGTGCTCTTTAAATGAGTTAACTATGCCCAGAAGAACCCCAAGCTTGTCTTAGGCACGTTTTTATTCTTTTAAGAGGACATATGGGAAGACCCTTGATTCTAGAGGAACAAAGTGTCTTCCAAGTGCTCCTGCAGTTATGCTGATTAACGACATATTCAGACACGCTCTCAAAACGTGGTTTGAGACACAACTGCCTCCCACTCTCATTCCTCTGAGTTACCACTCCCTCCACTGAGCCACCATAAAGGACTCCGTGAATGCTTTCAGTTCAAGATTCAGTGCCAAGACAGACAAACTTCTCTCAGAAAGCCTCTTCAGTTGACAGACAGGAGCTAACAGCTGTAGAAAGCTCAAATTTGAAGGCTCAGTGTTCCTGCAAAAGTACATCTGATAGCACCTGTACTGATTATCTTCTCCAACTTGGACTGAGAGGTTCAACAGCATTTTACTCATTATCTTTACCTTGCTTTGTTATTACATGTGCAAGCACATCGCAGCAGCTAGATCCCTCCAAGGAGGCAGCAAGATCCACGTCATCCCAAAGTGGAGGCTGATACCTGGTCTTGAGGTACAACTACATAGTGGAGCCCCATGGTTTACAAAAAAAATCAACAAGAACAGCTAGTAAATACTCAAGATAGGCCAGAAAAAATTTTTGATAGAGTTCTTATTCAGGAAGGCTAAATTTATGAAGACTGCTCCTGAGCGATGTGTGACAACGCAGAATGAAGGGCCCATGCTCAGTGTCTCCAGATAAAGGGCCGTGTATTAGTATCTGATGAGCTGACCCAGGTTTATATCCTTCTCTGAAGGTATGCCCTCCTCCCCCAGGGAGATGTGGTTCCTAAAATGTTAGCTACAGGCACCACTGAAAGAGACGTAACCCAGCACCCACGTCCTGTAAACAGCTTGTCACAGCTTGACTACAGAAAGCCTCGTCAGTCAACACAAAGCCTTTACAAATCCCAGTGACTTCTTGTAAGAGGGAGTTAAACCAGGCCCTGATGGACAGACAGTTTTGACAGAAGTCAGTACTGCCCAAGGCAGCAGCCGCATTTCGTAATAGCTGCAGGTTCCACCCAAAGATGCTTCTATAACCACGTGGAAGTTTTTCAGCAGAAGGTGTCAAGGTAACACTAGAAAACTCAAAGGCTAAGACTACATCTGCACCAACAAAATGATATGCAGGTAAAGGATACTCTAAGCTCCCAGAGACAGAAAATAGTAATAGCGAAGTATAACTAACTCAGTGTGCCTTAGCAAATAGATGATTTTTCAGTAAATGAATCATGTATGATGTTGGCTACTGCACTCATAGCCCAGCATACTCCATCTTGTCCACATAAGCCATGTCAACTAGCTCTAAGGAAGCACTGGGCAAAAAAAGCTTTGCCAATAGCTAGCTGAAAACAGACCTGAGCCGTTTCTACAGCACTTTGCACTGAATTTGAGGAATTCAAATTGAATTTGAGGGAGCTGATGAAATCCCCTTCCAAGACTCCCAGGCATTTTATCAGGCACTGCATCTCCAGGGTGATTTCACCATGAGGCAGTTTTATTACTGGTGCACAGCAGCAATACACAGTACTTATCCCATCCACATCCACCTTAATCTAACAACGCATTCAATCCACTTGGCTTTGTCTTTAGCTTTATCAGGCCCTAATAATTCATTTTCCTTATTATGTATTTAACTACTATGAAAGCACCACCAGGGAGGATGCCAAGCTGTTCTAGAACTATCATTATTCAGCTAGAGGATCACAAATTAGTAAGAAGTGGTTTGGCTGACAGCACCAGCCCTCGTTCATTAAGCACATGCTCAGCCTATCAGATAAATTGCAGGCTTGGACTGCTTTAATTCCTGAACTGGACCAAAACCTAGCAGATTATAAAAAGCAAGGCAGGCAGGCAGAATTTAGAAGCAATACACAAGATAAAGTCATCCGGTGCTATATTAGAACCTAAAAAAGAAATATATTTAATCATTTGCTTCAGCATCAGAGCAGCTTTGTCATATTTTCTGATAACCTTTCTAACCAGTTCTTCCTGGGAAAACAGCTGGCCTACCAGGACTCAGATTTCACTTGGAAAGAATGGAAGACAGCAATGCCACATTCTGACACACTAAGGAAATGCACTGCTGGTAATTCCTCCTAAGCTTGCATTTAAAAGTGCTGAAGACAGCACATTTCCCAGCAGTTACAGCAGACAGGACAAATCAGAACAAGAAAAGCAATTGTAATCACCGAAGCCAATGTCTGACTCCACAACCAGTTGTCTGCAAAACAGAAAAACCATTAGATCCTGTACAATTTTGTCTCTATCGCTGCCCATTTAACTTCAGATTGCCTGCCTTACCAGGTTCAGTAGGCCAAAAGCCATTAAAAAGCCTTTTAGGTAGAGACAGACTGAAACAGCAACCAGGGCATCCTATAGAAAGAGTGGGAAAGAGCATTCTGACCTGGCATGCTTAGTGCAGAGATACTCACTCATTACCAGCTTGCCCCTTTCCCTTTCCTCATCATGAGTAATGCTGCACTGTAAACACAGCCTCTTTCCAATAGATGTTAGCAAGAGACAACTGAGCAGCACAGCAGCTGATTAAAGAGAAAATCTCAATTTTATGAGAGCTGAAAGAACAAGCAAGACAGAAGTGTTAGGGATGCAACATGGAAATAAGTACATTAGATCTTTTTATGTCATTAGTAGTTTGTTTCTAACTAGCTTGTGATGATTTATTCTTAGCTCTGACTAGAGCTTCTAGAAAGAAAAAGGATTTCTCCTTTGACCACAAACAGAAGCTGCCTACTAATTCAGACTCCCTCTGGCACCCCCCTTTTCTTTACCATGCAGCATTTACTGCCAGTCAACAACAGGTCTTCAGTGCGAAGCCGCTGCTTTGCTGGAGACCCAATTAATGCCTCACAAAAGCTTCCTTTGCTTTTGAAGAGAAAGTTGGGACAGCTTCCTCGCTGTGCAAAGAGTAACACAAGCCACCCAAGCAGTCATTCCACACACATCCCTTATAGCAAAGAAGGCTGCACAGCAGCAGAAGTACCAAATTAAGCCGCCGCACTGCTCCATCTAGTGGCCGCGGTTCGGAAGGCCCTCATCACACGCTGCCTTTTTCCTTGGTCATGACTACACCAAGTCATTTCCATTTGTTTTACCATCCCACACAGAACGAGAAGCTCGCAACCTTGTACCACAGCCAAATCACACTCATCTGTAATAAAAAACAGTACCTAACACAGTCTCTAGGAAGAGAACAGATATTCTCAGGCAGAGCATCATCCTTCGTTAACCATGGCCTTGGGTCGCAGCACCCAATCCCCAAACAAACAGGACATAAAACATGATTGTATGTTCAATTCCTGCTTCCCTGCTGTCCTAGTACATGGTACAGCGTGTACTCACACACCTTGAACACCACTTCAAAGCTCACACCTTAGCACCAGCCACTGTCCTACACCATCCCAAAGCACACAAGTATGTAAGTTGAGAAATAAGTTGAAAATGAAGGGACAATACATGCAACTATTCACTTCTCCCTTGAGGCCCAGACTTAGTTTCATTACAGTAGCTCCAAGACAGAAACCTAAGGGCACTGTAAGAAATAGACTTGAAGTGTTTTTCTCTCCTCCCAAGACATTTAGAACAAAAATAAAAAGACAGGGATGGGCTATTTTTTTGAAGTACATTTTGAAGGAAGCCTTGGAACAATAACTCATTTAACACCAAACGTGGACTTGCACAGACCACAAGCAATGCCAGTACTGTTAACTAAGGCATTTTAAGCACAGAAGAAACTTTTGTTTCCAGATCAAGAAAAGCTGTTAAATAAAGAGAATTGCTTGATATCTTTCTTGAGAGGAAAACAAACACAGCAGGTTATTTTAATTTAAAGAGACCACCAATAGAATGCCAAAGTTGATCTTCAGTGAACTTGATGTAATTTCTGTCACTTCCCACTGTGCAAACAAGACTCCTGCCCATGGAAGCAAACCCATGTACTGCTCACTCACAAGACTGGATTCAAGTCAGGGACAGAAGCGAGGAAAACCTGCATCATCTTTCATCTGCTGAAGATCAGACTTTTTCACAGTAAAGGAGATGAAAAAGCCACTAATAAGGTCTTTGAAAGTGCAAAGATTTATTTAGCAGCACTGAAGTGTTAAAAAAAAAGTTACACCACTCACATCACAGAATGTAAAATGAGAAGTAGCACTTCCACGTGAACTTAACCTGGTATCCCAGCTACAACACGAGTCAGACTGCTTGAGGTATCGTTCATGGATTCTTTTTTCCATGAGAAGTGTCAAGCAATGCAGGAATGTCTAGAAAGTTAGAACTCCCTAACAGGATCTACTGAAATGACTCCAACTGTGAAAGTTTGCACACAGAGGAATATGTTACAAGTGGAGGCAGTAAAAGAGCTGCAGATTTCTCAGCTATTTACACGCGCACACAACACTCTTCTGACATAAATGTCTCCGATCAGGAAAGGAATGGATCGTCCACCTAACCTGGGGCACCCAAATCAAACATTTGGGGAAACTCAGTGCCTGCCTGGCTTTCTATTACATCCACCCAACCCATCTGTATGCAGCCAGCACCCTCCTGGCACAGGGTGGTACCTCAGGAGTTCTGCAGAGCCAAACAAAGCCGCCTACTGTCCTTCAGGTGCCATCCAGTTACTGCTCAGGGAACATACAGTAAAACGAGTCCACAGGTCACGATACTCACTTTTTCCTTTCTTCTCTCCATTTAGCAATCTCTTCCGGACTATCTAATTTTATTCTTTTAGCACCAGGTCCATGTACCTACGGAAGAGTTTCACAGGTCTTTTAAGGGGGACAAGAAGAAAAAAAGCAACAAAAAAAAAACAAAAACACAACAATTACATCAGCATCACACTGCTTTCATCTCCAGCAGTGCTGAGGCTCCAGACAGCAATCACAGAAGGAATCCATTAGAAAAAGTATTGAATATTCTCATTTGTAAGATCCCTATAACAGATTCAACCCAAAGGTGCTACATTGTCATTCCAGACAATGACAAAGCCCCAGAAGAATGAGAAGGGCAGATGGGAGGAGTGTACGGATCTGTATTTTAGGGCCAGCCGGGATACCTACATTCTTCCAGTGAATCTGAACCAACTTCTCGTGGGCATTGAAATTGCAGCCTTCTTCTGTGCACTGCAAGATAAAGGGAAGGGGTGATCTTAAGATACAAGAACACTTTATACAAGCAAATCAGAGCAAGCATTTAGGCAAAGGTCAGACTCAGTGCCAGATGATTGCACAGCTAATTGCACAGAGCGTAAGCCATAACTCCAACGGACATGATTAAGAACAGTTAGTGTTAGTATACTTGTAACTTCCATGTGGTTTTTGAATAGCCAGTGAAGCCAACATGCCTGGTAACTGGAGAAAATACAAAGTTAAAATAAGAGAAAGATTTGCAAGGCTGTCGAATTTCTTATTTTATTACTTCTTTGCAATAAAGGAACTCATTTTTAAAGTGCTTCTCCTGTACAGCATTTTCACGCAGGTTTTTAACATGCTACACTGATATCACTGAAGTAATTCATAGCACTGAGAGGAATTAGCAGTGACTCTAGCAATAAAACCAAACTGAGAGCTCCCCCATGACAGGGATCAGAAAAAGTCTCATACCGGGGCTTTTTATAGCTCAGGAGTCTTTGCTAAGTCTCCCATTCAAAGCACGGCTGCAGCTATCTACTTAGGCATGAAATCAAAAATCAAAGTGTAAAGAAAACAAGCCAAGCTCATCAACCTGTGTATGTTGTGAAACATGTTCATCATACTTCTCCTGGTTTTTATAGCCACGGTCACAGGTATCGCAGTAGTGGGAGAAAACTGGCTCCTTTTTCTTTTTATTCTGGGAAGATAACATATCAGGACAGTAGTCAAAAGACAGTAAGACATTTCCATTTTTAATTAGAAATTATTTACATATTTCACATGTAATCATTCAAACATGCTTCAGAGCATCTAAAACAACACAAGGCAAAGTTCAAGTCTCTCATCTTCCAAACAAAACACACTGCACTCAGTCCTTTCCACCACCTTCACCAACTTCCTTTCAGTTATCACTTATGCAAACATGTAAGGCAGACACAGATTCATCAGCAGCTGAAAGGAGGACAGGGTACAGCCCAAGTCTCCAAGCCATCTAGTCAGTCCATGGCTGCTCTCACATGACAGGCCAGAAGAGCTCAGGGGGCAGCAGAGATCCTTCCCTCTCCCACCATACACAGCAGTGGGATCAGGCTGAAAACACAGGGGACCAGTAATGTAACTTATACAACTGAACATCACCACAGTAAGAGCTTTTATGGACTCTACCTGTTTTAGAATGTTACGGATATGCCATTCCTTCATTGGGCTCAGGATTTGCAAGCGGATTCATAGAATGAGTTGGAAAAGGCCTTAAAGCCCACCCGGTCCCAGCCCCCTGCCATGGGCAGGGACACCTCCCACCAGCCCAGGTTGCCCAAAGCCCCATCCAGCCTGGCCTTGAGCACCTCCAGGGATGGGGCAGCCACAGCTTCTCTGGGCAGCCTGTGCCAGGGCCTCACCACCCTCACAGTGGTGAATTTCATCCTGATGTAAAATCAAAGCCTACCCTCATTTAGCTTCCCCTTGCTGTCACTACACTCCCCAAAAGTCTCTGAGCAAGCCCAACTCCTGCAACCTGTTTTTAAAAGAGACATGCTTCAGTGCTTTGATCAACCTCGTCCCCTCCTCTGGGTTCACTCCAGTACATCCATGTCCTTCTTGTGCTGGGGGTCCTGGAGCTGAACACAGTGCTCCAGGTGGAGTCTCATGAGAGCAGAGTAAACATGGAGAATTGCCTCCTGCAACCTACTTCCCATGCTTCTTTGGGGATAGTGTATTGAAAAGACGGCACACATGCCCACGAAGACAAGCCCCACGTGGCTGCCACCACCACAGACTCACACAACAGCAAAGATTAGAAGCGACCCCTGGAGAAGGTCACACAGCCCAACCCACCGCCCATCCTTACCTTCTGCTTAGCATTTCCACCCGAAGACCGCTTACAGAACGCGGGCGCTTGCTCTCCTTGCCAGTCGTGAGGAAAACTACCATTCCCACCTTAAAAAAAAAAGGAAGGAGAAAAGGGGGAGGCGTCAGGCACAGCAGGCAAAACCCACGTGCACCTCATCTGAGGGCCTGGAACGGGGAGGGACCGAGGTGCGGCCGCGGCGCTGGCTCCCCCCCCACCACCCTCAACGCCCCCTCACCAGCATGCGGCCCCCGCGGGGGCTCCCGGTAGGCGGGCGGGTACCACGGCGGCGGCGGCGGGGCGTATCCATCGTGCGGCGGCGGCGGCCAGAAGGCGGGCTCCCAGGGAGGAGGCGGCGGGCAGAAGAGCGGCGCGCGGAGGGGCGGCGGGTACCAGCCGAAGGGGCCCACCTCGGCCAGGCCGGGCCCGAAGCCTCCCCCGCCGCCAGCCGCAGCAGCGCCGCCCGCCTGCATCCTCCCCACGCGCCGCCGGCTTCCGCTCTGCGCGTCACTTCCGGCGCGCGCCGCGCTTTTATAGGGGAGGCGCGGCGGGGGGGCGTGGCTACAGCCGGAGGGGGCGTGGTTAACCCCGAGTGGGCGGGGCCTCGCGGCGAGTGGGCGGGGCGTAGCTGGCGCGCGCGCGCGGCCCCGCCCCCCCGGCGGCCGCCATGCCCCGGCAGCTGCCCGCAGCCCCGCCGGACCCGGAGGAGGACTGCGCCCGCGGTGAGCCCTTGGGGGGGGGAGGGCGGGCTCTGTCGCGACATGTCCTATCGCGATCGAAACGTCCCCTGGGGAACAGCCCTGAGCGCGTAGGGCTGCGGCAGCCGTTCCCGTGCGGGGCGGCGTTTGCCCGATTTTAGGCTCTGCAACACGGGCGATAATTAATTATTTGGTTAATTAATTAATTAAGTAATTAGCCGGGCGAGTAATTAGCATCGTTAGGCTGCGATTTCGCCGCACCGAGGGTTTGGGTAGCGTCCGGGCTCGGGCACACGCTGACCCCGCCTGGGGGGGGGTCCTGTTACCCTGGGACCTGGAGAGGGAGCTTAAAAAAAAAATAAAAAATAAAAAATAATATAAAAAATAAACCTAAAAAGTATGTATAAATGCGTGTTTGAGTATTATTTGGGTTTGTAGCTCCTCAGCCGGGTGCCTTCCTGGCTTGCCACAGCGCATATTTTTAATGCCTTGTGTTCAGGGGTGTTTCTCAGCCCATATGGGAAGACTTTTTGAGCCTTTATGTCCATTTATTGTATTATTTGTGATTGTTTCTATTATCTTGAACTTACTTTGCTTTCATAGGGTGGCGTGTTTTTTTATTTGTTTTTTTTTTGCCCTCTTAATGCTAAAATGGGTCTGTACATCCCGGTTAAGGTCCATCCCATTAAATCTGGTTAAGGTCCATCCCATTAAATCGGAGAAAACGTAAGCGGCAGGTCTGTCTCGATGCTTCACAAACCAGCCAGCTGATCTCGTGCTGTGTCTCTTGCTAAAGACAGACAAAAGCATTATAAAACTCCCTTGAAGGTCTCGGTTTCTGCCCAGCCTTTGTCAGCTGACAGTGGGACCTCAGCCTGCATCAGGTATCAATTTGTGCCATCAAAAAAAACCCTTTAGCTGAAGGGGTAGTTTCCTGTTACCCTTCATTTATGTGGTTTTATCGCACCTCATCTTTTCATCTAGCCCTGTTCTGAAAGCTAACGATGCCTTTTCCCCACCAGGCATCTTTTTGTCCCATCAGGCTCAGGCTCCACACTCGAAATACTAAAAGGAGGAATGGTGCCTGTGCTGCAGGGCATTAAATCATCCCTCGCTCAGCAGAGGCCTTAACTCTGTGCCTGCTGTCTGCTCACTCCTGGGCTCAGTGTGACTAAAACTGGAGTGAGAAAACCCCTAACTGTTAGCCCATTCTTAGAGCAGGAGGGCAATTAAATTCTGGTAACGTGTGGTCTCCAGTGCTGCGTGTGTAAAAATGACGGGCTTCTTCACTAGGAAGCTTCAGATTTAACGGATTATTTAACATAATCAGTTCTTGGAAATGTCTAATAACTGTTGTGCGTACCTCTGGATGTTCAGTTGCAGGACCAGCACTGCCTCCGGACTACAGAAGCAGCAGCAGCTCGGAAAGTCCTGACAGCGATGACGACTCGGGATCTCTTCCTCTACCCAGAGATGCACACGGAGACTCTGAAGAGGAGCCAGAAGGAGCTTCAGTGCCCAAGTGAGTCTCTTCTTAGGTTGTTTGTGTTGTTACGTCGAAATAGCGACTGGAATGTGTCTGTGTAAAATAGGACAAACTGTGATACATAAACAAAAAGGTAAACCCTGTACCTACATAAAATGTAGTGGTATGTTCTCCGTGTTCTTTGGGGTCAAGATTGCTCAGCCAACCTCTGTGACTTGTTAGGGTGGAATTCAGATATTTAGGGCAATCTGGTCTGTGTATGTTCCTGTATGAATTTTGTTCTGTGATTAAAGTAATAAATTTCCTTCATGTTTTGATTGTGCTGAGGACAGGCTCCACTTACAGTGCATGTAAGTGTGTGGTGCTTGAGCTTAGCCTTGTTTCTATTACACTTACTCATAAAGTTAGAAGAACTATTTAGGGGCAGGAATTTACACATTCAGCTAAGCCAACTCGAAACAAAATTGTTTAGTAAATATCAAGTCTGCACATGCTCTCATTTTGGGGGGGTCGATGACTCATGATTGCAGTGCTAAAAACTTGTGTGTTTCAGACCTTGTGTAAGGGTCTTGAAGCACATCCTTCCGTCTGAGAGTGTTAGAGTAAATATTGCTCACTTTTCTCTTGCTGTCTTACTCAGCAGCTTTTCAATTCAGCAGAATTGAACTGGGAAACCTACCAGCCAAAATGCAGTCGACATATAAAAATGTAAAAAGTGTGCTGAATTTAAAATTACTTTGTGACTGGAAAATTGGTATTTTACCAGACTACTTCTCTTCCTTCTACTGCAAAAGCACTCCTCATGTTGGCTGGTTTTTGTTTTTTTTTTCTTAAATGTCAGAATATCTTTGGAGTGAGGCTTATGGTCTCAAATTTTTAATTGCTTCAAATTATTTTGGAACCTTTTGTACTGTTTCCTTGGTAACAGCAAGATATTTAGTACATAAAACTGAAATCATATTGTTGGTTTTCTTTCTTTTTCCCTTCTTAAAGTGTAGATAATTGCTGTGCGTGTCAAGGTAATTAGTAAGTGAAATCTCTGTGTTTGCAGAAAGCCAAAAAGAATGGAAGAAAATGATGATGACGATGGCTTTTTTGGGCCTGCTCTTCCTCCCGGATTTAAAAAAGAGGATGATTCTCCAGAGAGGTAATTAGAATGGAATTATGTTCAGGAACACGATTATTTTAGGTAAAATATTTTGTGGCAATGCTACAGAACACTTCAGTTGTACACTGCAGATTCAGGTGATTGAAATTTTTTCTTCAGTTTATGCTGAGGTTATTTGGGAGTGTCCTTTCCATACCTTTATTGAACAAGTTTCTCTGTAACCCACTTGTAATTGTGGGGTGTCCTGCTCAGTGGGCTCATTTTGTGCTTCCACAGCTCCCAGAGGAGCCAGCTCTCTTCCTGACATTTCACATGCACAGCTTGTTCTTTGAATGTTATAAAATGTAGGCAGTCACTAAAAAACAAAGAAGTCCCTAATACAGCACCACAAAGAAGTGCTTGGAGATTTAATATCAGCCAAGGTACATTTCCTGCTTTCTTGCATGAAGCCTGAAGTGGCAAAGTGTTACCTCGAAGTGTGCAAAGGAAAAGAGGGAGAAAAACAGGCATTGCGTGAAGGTTAAAGAGATGAGCAGCAATCTAGGTGCTCATCCGTCCCATAAGCTCAGGGTTTTGCGTGCTTAGCCACTTTTTCTCTCTCCAGGGCAGCTCTCTTCCAAGCTAGCAGAGAAGTTGCAAGCACCAGGCTGTGCGTTGCAGTGTATGGACATCCTGTTTCTTAGCTCGGTGTGACCTGTTTTTGTAGAAAAGCTGTTGTTCCATGCTATCCTTTCCAGACTTGTCAAAGCAAGCATTCCCAATTAAGAGCAGACCATAATGAGAATAATTCAGTTCACGTCACATTACATTTGGTTGCCCAAAAGCTCAGAGAGTGGAGATCATCCTAAATCCAGCCTCTGCCTGATGTATTGTGGGGATTCTGTCACCTGGATATTTCTGCAGGTGATAATTGTTTGGGTTTTTCATAAGCTTTGAGGAATATGATGGCAGATTATTAAAGAGCTCTTTCCAGTACAGCAGGCACAGTTTGTAGTCTGCTTTGAGTTGTGCTTACCATTGGGAATAAATTCTCACCTTTGTGTGTTCCTGGAGGTAGCTTAATTATCACACTACTTGCTGAGTTGCTGTCCAAAAGTGAATCGGTGACGTTAAAAGGCATCACAAAACCTTTCTTCTGTCTTCCCTCCTCCAAGGGAAAGCAAACTGAAGTTGACAGCAGTTTGCTGATGCTGTGCCTTAAAGGGTAGTGAAGCTGTAGTGCGAGACCAGAAGGAGCAAACGTGGCCTTGGTGCTGGAGAAAGAGCAGCGTGCGTTTGGCCTCGCTCCTTTCCTTGCTCTGTAATCTGGTGAAGGAAGCTGGGGAAGAAAAAAAGGGGATTTCCTTGACTACATGCCACAACTTTCCCAGTTTCCTTGCATTCCAGCTACCTGCAGAGATCCTCATGGGAAATGGAGAGAGACTGTTCTTACGAGTTCAGTCACTTCTGTGGTGTGCTCACAGGAGGCACACCTGCCATGGGAAGGAAGGAGAACTACACTTCTCTTAAAACTTTGATTTTTATTTTTATATTTACTTATTCAAAATTTTTCCTGCAGGAAATGCTGTCATTTAATGTAGCCATCTGTGTTGGCTGTGTTACTTCCTTTTTTTCCAACTTGAAAAAAATATATTTTTTTTTCTTCCCCCTTGAGGCCCATTATAGGTCCTGCATTACCGCCTGGCTTTAGGAAGTCTTCAGAGGACACCAGGAGTGCCAGATGTTCCCCTGGACCATCAGCTTCCTCCAAATTCTGCAACGAGGTTTGTGAAAACACAAGTCTTTTGCTTTTTTATAAGCTATCAGTGATGCTTAAGCAGGTAGGAGCCTGTAGAAGTCTAGTAGGCAAGCTTTTCTGCATGACAGTTTAATTTTAGACCAGCAGGTGTCTGACTTATTTTTGCCTGCATCGAATGCGGCATCTTAAGTAAGCCTAAAAAAGAAGCAGGCGGCTCTGGTGTGTTGTGATTTTGCTGTTAGATGGATGAATGCAAGAGGTGTGGGCATCCTAAATGGTAGTCACAGTGATTCTTCTGGATGCTTTTCCTTTATTTACTTTTGTAGAATATGTCCTTTGCAAGTGAACATCTTAGCAAAGTTCAGATCTTTGAAAACATTAAAAAGGAATGCAGCCTGCCAGAATGAAAATATTGACCTACAATTCAAGGCTTTACTCTTTTCTTGGTGGGGGCAGGTGACAGTATGAGCTCAGGGGACAATTC